TATACCCTCTAACTGGTACTCTGATGATAGTACTAACCTTTGGACACATCCTTGCAGGATTTGCCATAACACGGTGGGAGGAGGCAGGGACCATGCCATCAGATCTAGATTCCCATACCTCTGCTGTGGTTGCCTTCAGCAAGTCCCTGATGCCCAGATTTTTATCTTAAAAAGGAGGAATCTGGCTTAGAACCTGAGCTGCCTTTCAGCGCTCTGAGTTTATGTGTGTCTGTGATCGGGGCCATTTTAGAGATCAGACTTTACCTCTCATGGAGTGTAGTAACTTGTGGAGTGTTCAGAGACTTCCTGGTTAGAATCGTTTCCAGCACACAGGTTGCTTTCCTTGGCAACAACCAGACAATAACCTAGGCAACAACCAGACAATAACCAGAGAAAGGCCATTCAACGTCAGCACTGTTTCGACATTAGGTTGGAGTCCTAAAGGTTCCCAAATGTATTTGGTTTATAGCCCTTTTTTAGGGGTTGGATAATTACTGAGTCCCCCAGTCCCAAATATACCTTCTTTATGTGAACAAACAGAAAGCTCCCCTAGCTTTCTGTTAGTATACCAGGGAATACTGACCCTTATCATTCCAGCTTCCGCCCCACCCTGAGGCAGTACTGCCCACCTTGGTAAACACTGGGCTTGAGCATTCTTGCTGGTGATGGGGAAGGCTGTTCTATGTAATATTGGTCATTTAGCAGCAGTTCTAAAATCTGCAACTGGACTGCAATAGTTTCTCCTCTTCAGTCCCAGCAATCAACATGTCTGCTGACTACCCACTGCCCCCTAGAGAACAAAATTCCCAGTAGAAAATCCTTGGTTAGAAGGTACTAGAATAGCTATAAAAAACAAAGAGTGTGCTCCCTCTATGAAGAACTAATAAGTTAGCATATATGCAAGTGATATCATTTGGGATATCTGATTTTTCAGAGACCCCCCTGAAAGAGCCTCCAATACGTTGGGAAGGACAGGTAAGGAGAGGCTGCTAAAATCTAAGGGCTGGGACGAATGTCATTTACTGGTGCCCACTCAAGCAAATCGATGAACAACAGGATAACAGTGATGCAGTGAAGAGAAGAGGAAGGATTTTTGTTGTTTTCATTTGGTTCTTGGCCCACACTTGCCTGTGCTCAGGGCTTATTTCTAGCTGTGCTCAGGAATGTTTCCTGCCAGGGCTAGGGGACCATATGAGGTGCGAGTATTGCACCCTGGTTGGCCATATGCAAGCCAAGCACCCTGCTCTCTATACTATCTCTCCAGCCCCATTAGAGGAAGAATTTTTATTTGTTTTGCTGTCAGTTACTGTGTTCATCATAGTCAGCTGTAGTTACGGATAGGAGAAGAGTAGATAGGGAATAGACAAGCTGTCAGATCTTTTTTCACATGGACAGTGTGATTAGTAAATATATGCAAGGCATAATTTTTAAAAGAAAGAAATAAAAGCAAATCTGGACAGGATGATTTAAAAGTTGAAGAAAGCAAATTGGGAGGTGCCTACATTTACTTAAGGTTGCCAGATTTCTTTCACCTATAGTTCAAAGGCATGAATTAGATGATAGTTTCTTCTCAGTTTAAGAATAAAAACAATGGGGCTGGAGCGATAGCACAGCAGGTAGGACATTTGCCTTGCACACAGCCGACCCAGGTTCGATTCCCGGCATCCCATATGATCCCCTGAGCACCGCCAGGAGTAATTCCTGAGTGCATGAGCCAGGAGTAACCCCTGTGCATCACCGGGTGTGACCCAAAAAGCAAAAAACAAGTAAAAATAAAAACAAAGTTGAAGCAGAAATCCACACATTCAGGTAGATGGTAATGAGGGCATTATTATTTTCAATCTATCTGAAGTTGTTTCTAATGGACTTACATCAGAATTTCATATTTCTATTTTTCTCACTATATTGCATCATATAAAGTTCTTGCTTTTCTTACTCTTAAGTGCAAACTAGCATAACTTTTTTATATAATTTTATTATGCTGTGTCATTTAATAAAACTACATGAAATATTTAAAGTGTATTTCAAAAGATATGAATTATTTATATCTCCCCTAGAATCTTTGATACAGGTTAAATAGGGGATTAAGAGCTACCTAAAAGAAGAAATTTTATGATCAGCATGAATATAAACTACCACATAAAAACAGATAAAAGTGAAAGTCATTCTGGAATGTCTTTGATAGTACATATTTATAGTAGACTATAGTGACGAATTAATTGCTTTTTTTCTAGACTAAGCTGACAAACAATAATTTATCAACATCCGCTTGAGAAAGTCCAAACACTTTAAGTTTTATAAAATGCTAGTTCTACTCTGCTGTAGAAAATGAAAGAAAGATCTTAGGATATATACTGAGACTATTGCCTGGTGATTCTTTAGCACTTTCAACTACCCATTTTATGTAGAACTGGAAATACGTCTTATGAGACCTGCTTTTGATTCATTATGAGAAGCGTTTTGAAGGACTTTGAATCTGTATTATTATTTCATAATAGTTTGGTTTTGGTTGGCTACATTTGCAAGATGTGTGTTGTTCTAGTAATAAGAGAGTGCACATAATGAAAATACTGCGCTCAAACGCCTTAAATTACTGTCCTTGAATAATAATCAGGGTAAAGCTGAGGTTCCTTCGAAAATAATTTGCTTTATTATTGTTTTAAGAGCAAGGCTATGATAAAGAGGAAATACAAAATTGCTTTTCTTAATAGAAAAGCAGGCTGCAGAGAAAGTACAGGAGAGTACATCCTTGAAAGCTCACCAAAGGTCACTACAAAGTTATGTAGCTTTTCAGTTCTGGCCTATTGAAAATGGAGAGCTGCTGAATCCTCATGAATCAGCTCTTCCGTTGCTTACTCATGATTAGATGTGTGCTCCTCCTCCCCTGGAGTTCTCCATCCCCTATTCTGTTCAACTTTGTAAGATGTTAAAGGCACTGTTTGGCATATCTCTGCCCTTGCCTAACTATATAGAAAAAATAAACTGTTTCCACAGTTATAAAATGTGTTTCACAATGTGAAACAAGACTATAGGAATGTGATGTTTACTTTTCTTCAACCACTGCTCAGTCTCCAGTTTAAAAAAAAAAAAAAAGAAAAGATTGATCATATATCACTTGGTAGGTAAAGTGAGGTTTTATTTGGAATCAAGTCTGTTGATGGGAAGATTTAGACTATGGATTTAGGATTGCCTGTGACCTGGCTGCAGATGCCCAACATTAAGAGAAGGTATGACCAAGGGCTCTGACACACAGGCCACTTTATACAGGCCACATGGGTTACTTTTCTACAAGATGGAGAAAAACAGAGCAGAAGCAGCACTGGATCATGAACAGTGACCGATACAGTTAGCATGGCATTGCGTGAGCCACCTTTATCCTGATTGTAAGAATTCCCCCACCTTTATTAAATTTTTCTATATTAAGGAATAGATGAAAGTATGTGTTGTGTAGCTTAGGAAGAGAAGTGTATTTAAAAGAATAGAGGATAAACTGCAGATTAATTATCAATAAGTCATAATCAGATCAATAATCTTATTTTGTCTGTTACAAAGAGCTCTACTTCCGAATTGTATATTTTGACATTCTTTTTTGTCTTTGTTCTTGTTTTATTGTTTGATTTTTGGCTCACACCCAGTGGTGCTCAGGGCTTACTCCTGGCTCTGTGCTCAGAGATCACTCCATATGTCATGCCGGGTCAAATCCAGATTGGTCATGTGCAAAGCTGCTCTGGTCCATATTTTGATATTCTTTTAGAATATCATTTACCTTTAGGTTCCGGCATTATAGAATTTCATGCTTACAGCTTCACACCTCTCTATAGAATCTGCCATGCCACTACCACAGTTCCAGTATCATCCTGTGCCTATCACCCCTCCCCCTGAGACTAGGAGTTAAGATTATTTATTTCTTTGCCAGTTCATTCATTTTCCGTGGTTTTATGTCTCTCTCTCTGTGTGTGTGTGTGTGTGTGTGTGTGTGTGTGTGTGTGTGTGATTGCTGCACTCAGGAATCACTCATGGTGGTACTCGAAGGACCATATGGGATGCTGGGGATCAAACCAGGGTCTGCTGCATGCCAAGGCACACATCCAGCCCACTGTACCGTCACTGGCCACTGGTTATATTAAACATGAGTGAATCCTTCTGGTAATTGTCTTTTACTTCCTGAAATATTTCTCTTAGCATGGCCACGTCAAGTTCCATCGTCTTAACCAAATGACACAATTTCATCTTTTTTAAATTGTAGAATCATGTTTTGCTGAATCTATGTGAGAGCTTCTTTGTCCAGTTGTCTATGGACATTCAAAATGGTTTCATACTTGGGCTCTTGTAAATAATGTTGCTATAATCACAAGGGGGCTGCTATCTTTTAGAATTAGTGCTTTTGTGTTCTTCAAATAAATTCCGAGGAGTGGTTTTATTGGCTCTTGGAATATATCTATCTTTCTTTCTTTCTCTCTTTCTTTCTTTCTTTCTTTCTTTTTTTTTTTTATTTTTTGGGCCAACCCAGCAATGCTCTGGAATTACTATGGGCTCTGCATGAAGAAATTGCTCCTAGCAGTACACAGGGAACCATTTGGGATGCCGGGGATTGAACTCAAGTCAACTGCATGCAAAGCAGCCTCCCTATCCACTGTACTATCTCTCCGGCCCCCCATTTTAATTTTTTTAAAGGTACCTCCATATTGGTTTTCCAGCAGAGGCTTATTCTACTTTACATTCCCATCAAAGTATACCAGGATTACCTTTTTCCTCACATTCTTGGCAACATTTGTTGTTTCCAATATTTTTGATAAAGGTCATTTTTACCTCATTGTAGTTATGATTTACATTTTCCTAAATATAAGGGATCACTCCTGGCAGGTTCGGGGCACCATCTGTGGTATCCGGAATTGAACCTGGGACGGCTGTGTGCTAGGCAAGCTCATTAATCTCTGTACTATCTCTCAAGCCCTAGAGAATGCTAAAATTCTTAGATTTTATTTCTGTTCCTGTTCCAGATTTTGCCACATCTGCAAACTTCCTGGAAGGGTGATGGGGATCCGAGTGCTTCGTTTCTCTTTGGTGATTGTCCTTGTGTTGCTTCTGGTAGCTGGAGCTTTGACCACTTTGCTTCCGAACATCAAAGAGGACAAGATGATCACTTTGCGGCGGGAAATAAAATCCCAGAGCAAGTCTGCCATGGACTCCTTCACTCTCATTATGCAGACTTACAATAGAACTGATCTCTTGTTGAGACTTTTAAATCATTATCAGGCTGTACCACATCTGCACAAAGTGATTGTCGTGTGGAACAATATTGGGGAGAAGAGTCCAGATGAATTATGGAATTCTCTTGGGCCTCACCCCGTTCCTGTAATCTTCAAACTGCAGACAGTTAACAGGATGAGAAATAGACTCCAGGCCTTTCCAGAACTGGAAACAAAGGGTGAGTTGCCAGCTGTGTTTTTACTGTGATAGGAGAGCAACTAATCAAAGCTTCTGGGGCCCCAGTTGATGGCCATCACCTTGCCATATTTGACTGAAGAAAATAGGAAAATGTATTGATATAAAGCACTTTGAAAATCGTAAGGTGGTTTCCAAAATGTCAAGAAGTGGTTTCCTGGAAGGCTGTTGGGCAGGGAGTTACAAGCATCTTTTAACAAAATTGGAGAGGTTAATATTGCGAAATAAGTTATATCATAATGACATATTACAGTTTCACTGTATCACTGTCATCCCATTGATCATCGAATTACTCGAGCGGGTGCCAGTAACATCTCTATTTCTCCCAGATTTTATCAGCCTCTTCTTACTCATAGTTTCCCAACGATTGGAGGCTCTTTCAGGGTCAGGGGAATGAGACCTATTGTCGTTACTGTATTTGGCATATCGAATACACCACGGGGAGCTTGCCAGGCTCTGCCCGTGTAGGTGGGATACTCTTGGTAGCTTGCTGGGCTCTTTGTCAGGCATAACTAGGAAGAAAATATCTTATAATGTAACGCCATGCGGTTTGGAAAGCGGCCTGGAGCATGATGGTGGTTGGGTAGTGGAGGTCGGCTGCCAGGGCTGGGTCCCTTGGGGTGGGGAGGGCTCTCATCCACCCCACAGACTGGCGCAGAGTCCTATTACTGTAAAGGAATTACAGTTTAGAAGATTGAAAATGCCATTTATCTTATGTTCAATACATTTTTTGCTAACTCCCCTTTTTCAGATATACATAGCAGTTTCACAAAGGTTTTATTGGCTTAAAAGAATCACAGTGTTTATTATACCTTCACTAGTTATAATAAATAATTATATATTTACTAGCTTCAAAATGATGGATGGCAAATTCCCGTCATAAATTCCCTCTCGAATAGTTGTCATAACAGTTACAATTCAAATGACTTTTTCCTGCTAGATGCATCTCTCTAGCAGTACATCTCTTATTTATTCATTTGCTCTAAAACTACCTCTTTTGAATGATTTACATTGACCCATTGTATCCTTACCGGTTTTGTTTTCATTTCAAAACTGCTCTATTAAAATATTTTTTCTTTCTTTTCAGCGGTATTAATGGTAGATGATGACACATTAATTAGTGCCCAAGACCTTGTTTTCGCTTTCTCCGTGTGGCAGGTATTGTTGCTTATCGTTTATGAATTATTTTACGTAAATTTTTACCTTTTGTTTAGTGAGGGTAACTTAATTTTGTGTGAGATTCAGACAAAGCAGTGTAGAAAGTAAAAGTTAGATAAATGCGTCGTATGTTATCAAGTTACTATATAGTGTATGCCCAGTTAAGTACACAATATGTGCTCAATGAAGCCAAGCAGAAAGAGTATCTTTATTCGTGTTTACTATGTTGGAAAGAAGAGTTAGAATTCCTTTCCAAAGTAATTTTGCATAGCAAAGATTAGGATCTAAGGATAATCCTTTACAAAACTATAAACATGTGTCTCAAATGAAAGTTTATTTCTGTATTAACATTTATATAACTTTCCTTAAAGGAAAGGATTTGCTGGGCCAGAGAGATAGTACAGCAGGTAGAGCATCTGCCTTGAGTACGGCTGATCAGGATTTGCTCCCTGGCACTGCATATGTTCCCTTGAGCTTACCAGGAGTGATCCCTGAGTACCGAACCAGCAGAAAGCCCCGATCAATGCCAGTCACTCAAGGGGAAAGAGCATTTTTTTATCCACAAAATTTAAGCCTAATTCTGAGACTATTGGTTAGTGTGATAAACATCGATAATCTGCCTATCCATGGATGATTTTGGTAAAGAAAATATGGTATATTCACACAACATGTATCATTATGGTGGTAGTTATAAATTTTTTAACTCCTAAATCCTGGATGAGATAAACAGGCATACACTGTCCTATAAAATAGCTCTCTCCTACTGAATATGTATTAATAGTAGCCAAATTTTACAAGTTGCCCTACAATTACCAGAAACCAGAACAGCATACAAATATTCTGAAACCCTGTCAAGTAATTAAACACTGTGTGAACAAATAAAGGGTCTAATTTGCACTGTAGTAACTTTTCTTAATTAGCAACTTGGGATGTAACAGCCTCAGATGTTAATGGGAGAAGTCGCCCGAGCCTCACATTTAAAAAACTTTTTTGAACTTTATACCTAGTAGACAGATCAACAAATTTTTTTTCATGCCATCAGTTTTTCCAACTCTGTTAATAAAGGCTTCTAGGCAAGAAAGTCCTAATTTAAAGAATGCTCCAGCTGTGAGATTTCATGTTCAGGTTTAAAAAAAAAAATCAATTTGGCTAAAATGTCAGGAGGGAGAAAAGCTTTGAGTAAAGATCACTATGAGTAAACTATAATTAAAGATGGATAAATAGGAATTTGTTTTATTTATAAAAACACCAAAAAAATATTCAGTTTCAATCTGCTGTTCAGGACAATTTGATTTCTTACATTCCCAGCAGTGTCCTGCATAGTATGATGATTTGGGGTATTTATATAAGATTAGACAGGTTTATTTTTTTGGTTTTTGGGAGGAGCCAGGCCAGTGATGTTCAGAGTTGACTCCTGACTCTGCACTCTGGGATCACTCCTGACAGAACTCTGGGGGCCATATCAGGTTCAGGGGATCTAATCTGGGCCGGCTACATTAAAGGCAAATGTCTGACCTGTTGTACCCTTGCTGCCACACCCAAGGCTGAATTATAGAATTCATTTGTTTATTTGTACTTACCTCTGACTTCTTCTCATACTTTCCCTTTTCCCTCTGTGACCATCTATGAATTTTTTTTTTCCGCCTGGATTTAGTAAGTACTTCTCTGAAGTCTCTCAGCCTTTATTCCCCATCCCTTCACTTTCTCCGAATAGCAGCTTCCATCCTTTCCTTAGTGCCTCTTGATTTTCCCAAGTTTTTGCAACGTTCATACAGTTTGGTAGTTGCTTATTTGTATATCTGCATCAGACCCTCTCAATACTGATTTCTTGGAAATGAGATTTTGACACAAACTGATTTGGGGATATGTGTGACAAGGTGTTCATAGTTTAGTATCTATTCTGATTTCTGTAAATGATTGTAATTCAAATTATGTGTGCTATTGATCTAAACCTTTTAACCAGTTAAATTTTTATCTATTTTCTGTAATTAACTGGTTGCATTTTATTTGCTGATTTCTGTCATTTGACCTAATACTATTAAGAGTTTTGCTACTCAACTTTCTTCAAAGATTGTTTTATTATTTTATTACTCTTGTAATTAAGGTAAGGCATTTACTATAATGCTAATGTTTATGGTCTTTTTATAGTTATCGCATCTCACTACCACCAAAGAACCCAAGTTCATCCACCAATATCTTTGTGTTTCTTCTAGTTTCCCTCTTGATATCCTGCTCCATCTCTCACTTGCATGATAATCTGGTATATAAAAGGAAATACTCATAGCTGAAATGATAGTCTAGGGGTTAAGTTGGCCTAGAAGATGGCCAACTCTAACATGATCCCCAGCACTACATGGTTGCAGAGCACTGCAGGGAGGGACCCCAGAGCACAGAGGCAGCACTAGCCCCCAAGTACTGCTGGGTATGACCCAATACCACCCCTCTCCAATTTTTAAAAATAAATGAAAGGAAATACCCAAGCAGAAAGTATTATGTATAACATTATTTAAATGAGACATCATCTAAAATCCAGAAGACAGGAAAACAAACATTGTAGAGGATGTGGAAAGAAGGGAAGCCTTGTGCATTGTTGGTCGGAATGTATGTAAACTAGAGCAGTCATTATGGAAAAGCAGTATGGAGATCCTAAAATAATTAAAAATAAACATTTTGTGTGATCTACTTATCCCATTTTTGAATGTTTGCCCCCAAATTTAAAAAAAAATTAAGTTGGATAACATGTTAGTTGCATTTTGCATCTGTATGTTTGTATAGTAGCCAAAAGGTAAAAAAAACTAAGTTTCCTATATATAGAAACTAAATAAAGAAAATGTGGTAGAAGTACTGAGGGGATATCTCAGAGAGATGGAACACATTCCTAGTGTGTGTGTCCTGTGTGTGTGTGTCCCTAAGTGTGATTCCCACATACATGGTTCCCAATAGCCTTCAAAACCCCCCTGAGGTCAACTTAGCCACAGCAACACTTTATTTTGAGTCACTAGAGCAGAAGCATTTCCCATAAACTTATCATAGGAAAAGTCCGCAAAGGTACTCAAGCACTGCTGGAGAGGAAAAAATTATGGAGACCTTCCACTTGCAACTACATTGATGAGACTTCGAGCGGCCTATCTTAGTGAGAACAAGCCAAGCTGACTAAGATTTCACTTGTATATAATATATAGAGAAAGCAAACGAATGGATGAACTCATTGAAGTAAAAATAGACTTCAATGGGGCTGGAGCGATAGCACAGCAGGTAGGGCATTTGCCTTGCATGCAGACAACCCGGGTTCGATTCCCAGCATCCCATATGATCCCCTGAGCACCGCCAGGGGTAATTCCTGAGTGCAGAGCCAGGAGTAACCCCTGAGCATCGCCAAGTGTGACCCCAAAAAATAAATAAATAAATTAAAAAAAATAGACTTCAAGACTATTAGAAAATTAGTAGTTACTAGGAGGGAAAAGGGGAAGGAGAGATGGGCCAATCAGTAAAAGAGAGGGGTCCTTTGAGTGTGGAAGGATATTTAGTGGTCCCAGACTCTGTTTCAGCTCTGTGCTTGGGGTTCTCTTCCTGTGGTACTCAGGAGACTGTGTAGTTCCAGAAATTGAATGCAGGCTTCCTGCATGCAAAGTATGTGCCCAGTCCATTGAACTATCTCTCTGGCCCTTTACCAGTGGAATTAATTTAGTATATGCTTGTGTTGGCTTTTAGAGATATGTACCTGAAATATGATATAATGCAGTGTTAACATCAATTAAAAATGCCTGTACAAATAGTCAAAAATCAATTGATGACATTCAAGAATATTGGAATCAATAAATAAAAATAGTAATATTATGCATAATATTATGCATCATATAAATTATAAAACATTTTAATATATATCATAAAATATAATTAATTGTATACTTAGATGATTAAAATAAATTTTCAAAAATAGTCATATCTTTTTATCTCCTGTGATAAATAGCATTTACACAGTTCTTTCTTACTTTAAACTTTGACTGTGAAAGACTAGCTTTTATAAATTTCAAATAGTCCTAAATTAGGTGAGCATTTGTAAGACTAAAAGTTATGTTTTGGGGGAGTCTTAGGTTGTGGTGGAATTTGACCTATAAACTTATGAGGACATTTTATTTATGAGGTTGCCTGGAGTTAGATGGAACTGAGATGTAGAAAATAGGAATAGAATTAAGTTGACCAATTAATTAAAGTTGCTCTTTCCATATGTCTGCAATAAAGAAGTGCCACCTTTAATTGTTGTTGTTTTTTTCCTCCAGCAATTTCCTGATCAGATTGTAGGATTTGTGCCTAGAAAGCACGTCTCTACTTCATCAGGTATCTACAGTTATGGAGGTTTTGAACTGCAAACACCTGGATTTGGAAATGGTGACCAGTATTCTATGGTGCTGATTGGAGCCTCCTTCTTCAGTAGCAGATACCTTGAACTCTTTGAGAGACAGCCTGCAGCTGTCCATGCTTTAATAGATGAGACACAAAACTGTGATGATATCACCATGAATTTTATTGTTGCCAAGCACACTGGAAAAACTTCTGGGGTATTTGTGAAGCCTGTAAACATGGGCAATTTAGAAAAAGAAACCAATGGTGGCTATTCTGGGATGTGGCATCGAGCTGAGCATTTTCTGCAGAGATCTTACTGTATAAATAAGCTTGTTAATATCTACTCTAGCATGCCCTTAAAATACTCCAACATTATGATTTCTCAGTTTGGTTTTCCATATGCCAACCACAAAAGTAAAATGTGAAAGTGAAAAAAAAAAAGCAAAAAGAGAAGTACAAACCATCAAAACTGCTTAGAATTTGAGTAGCTACTCCATGCTCTGGGTGTCTGGTATTTTGCATTTTTCAAGTGGCATCACAAACTTCCATCTTCTCCTGAAGTCTCTACAAAGAAAACAGTCTGCAGCACTTCTTGGATGTAATACTCATCATTAACTTAAAAAACAGGAAGTTGGCACTATCTAGAAAGGTCTTCTAGTGAGGAGTTTCATCCATAGACAAAACACCTCAATCAACAATTTTCTTGTTTACATTCTAAGATGAGACTATTGTATAAGTTCTTTAATTCCTGGCGTTTGCCTTAAGGACCTATAGCAAGCTGTTCCCAGGACTAGAAACTCCTAAGAGGCATTTCCCTGTGTTTTCCTTAAAGGATGATCTTATCTGAAGCCTGTAATGCATCGTAAAGCAAAAGCCTCTGGTTTGGTGAAAAGTCGCCTGAGAAGAGAGAAGAGCTTCAATCCCATATACAAACAATTGTGCAGTTTATGGCTACCAGTACTTCCCTTTGGTCTTTACAGCTAGCCCTTCTCCGGACTAACTCAGCCCAGCATGGTATTGATGCTTCCATCTGTGCTTTTATTTTCATTGATAAATCTCTTGTGACTGGGAGGATTTTTAGTAACTAAAAGATGTCTAGTTGTTTGCTTGGTTTTTATGGACATTTATTGCATGGGTCTAAAATATTGAGCCTTTATTTCTTATGTGCAGCTTATCTGCAGCAGAGTAAATGTGTTCACTAGATTCAGAGACTCATTTTGTCACTGAACCTGAATTGAGATTGTACATTGTTATATTTTACCTAAGGTATGCGTTGTTTTACAAAATAACTTCTGAAAGAATGATTACATAGAAATCATCAGAAGTGTCAATAAACTCTGAGTCAGAAGATCTTTATTTTTAGAACTTAGGTTCTTACATATGAGTTGTGTGTGTAATACAACACACAACTTATATATTATGAGTTGTGTGTAATATATATGTTTTTTTAAGCTCCAAGACACTGTTCTCCATGTTGAATTTTTGGTACATAAATACAGAAAAATTAACAGCTAAGTCATAGCAGAAAAGTTCTATAGAAAGCTTAACATCAGTTCATCATTGTTTCCCACCCTGTGTAGTAAAGTAGTAACTGTGTCCCATACAGTGTCTGTGTTTGTATTTTTTATCCACAATTGGTACAAGGAATATCTAATTAAACCTCTATCCTCTACATTTTCCTCCTCAATCACAACCACCTCCTATTTTTTTCATGTAACTCCTTTATATTCTCAAAATTTCAAAGCTGTGAAAACATTAAACTAACTCATATTTTTGTTCCAACAATGAAGTCTCTGTGCAATTAGTTCAGTATATGCCATTCCTTTCCATTAGGGTATATATGCCTATTAATGGAGTCAGATAAAACCAATAAAATAGAACTTGAAATCTAACTAAAAATGCATAATGTTCATTTGCTTTGTTTAACCTACAAAACGGAATTCTGCTGGTAGATGGGTAAAATAAACTTTATCATCTAAGTTTTCTCTGTTAATAAAGACATATTTTTAAAAATTCCTATGCTAATATTTGCTCGCAATAAGTTTTCCAGTGGGAAGGTGTTCCCAATTTTTATTTTTTAATTTTTTGTCCTTAAAGTTGTTGTATGCATCAAATAAGTTAATCACAAGTTTTATGGACATTACAAAGCAAATATGAAGAAAAGTGAAGTTCATTCTCTTTTATGAAGACTTACTAGACTTTTTTTTTTCTTAAATTTTTATTAGTGAAACACCATGAGGTACGGTTGTAAACTTACAAATTTTTGTGCTTGGGTTTCAGTTATACAGTGATCAAGTACCCATCCCTCCACCAGTGCCCATCCTCCACCACCATGGGTCCCATCATCCCTCCCACCTCCCTTCCCCCCATCCCACCCTACCTCTGTGGCAGGGCATTCCCTTTTGTTATCTCTCTCCCCTTGAGTGCTGTGGTTTGCAAAAGAGACATTGAGTGGCAATCTTGTTCGAACTATAAGACTTACTAGACTTTACCAAAACTCTTTTATCCTGCCTATCCATATTCTGGCTCCAAATGACCTCAGGAAGAGATACTTAGACTTGAAATTGCAGGAGGATCAAGAGATCGTATAGCAGATCAGGCATGTTCGTAGCATGTTCCCAACTGGGGATTAATTCTTAACATCACTTGCTTCCCCAAGTATTGGTCCAGGTGCAGTCTTGGAGGCCCCAGCACTGCCAAGCTGTCCAGTCTCCTGCACCCTGAAAACTGAGCAACATTGCATGCTCAGGCTCTTGCACTGAACTGCTGATCTAGTTGACCAATAATTGCTGGTGGAGTCTCTAGACCTCCTAAGTATCACTTGGGAGCAGCTCACCCCAAAAATTAGAGAAACAATTAATTGTATTATTTTAGTCACCAAGATTTGCAATGTTGTTAATGATAGGATTTCATACATGCAGCATCCAGACCCCAAACCCTCCACCCGAGTTTCTGCTTCCCTCCATCACTGTCTCAGCACCACTCCCCTGTACCCCTAAGCTTAGTTCTATAGACCAGTTCACAGAGTCTGTAGTTTTGAGCCATTTGTTCATCCCTTACTCAGAGAAGTAATGAAAATTTGGGGTTAAGTGTGCCAGTAGAACATGCAATCTCAAATTCTTGATAGGCTTCATATTTACTTAACTTTTGGGACTTCAGTTTTGTTATCTGCAAAAGAAATAATAATAGCTCTGGAGGTTCCAGTATGAAGGACATGGCTTATGTAAATATAGCACAAATGCATTGCCCATTTCCAATGGTCAATAAATGAAAGTTATTGGAGTGTATCATTGATAATAAGCAAATTCCAAGTCTATAACTCCACACCTTTTAAGATTTTGAACCTGCCAAGTGAGACGGTTGGGAAATTGTTTTTACATAGCAATGGACAGAAAAACAGACAATTTTCTACCTTGTTTTCTTTATTTCAATTTTCTGTATTTCGTTCTAGTTTTTATTAAAGCAGTACAAGTTCATCCTAGCAATTCTGACTGATTTAAAACACATAAAGAAGAAACTAAAAGCCCACCACCCCATTAACAACACAACACCTAAGTGTCTCCAAATTTTTCCAGGCGTCATTTTAATAGCATGGATTATTGAATGGGAATGATCATTGGATCCATTGCATTAATAAGCCACTGTTTATATAATCGATCATATTACCAATTTGTTTGATATGTTCTTTTTACAGTAACCTTTGGGTAAATATCTTTGCCTTGAATAGATATCTTTGATTATATTTGCAGTGATTTTTCCCCCTTTTTGCCATAAATTCCAGTATATGGGGATATTGGGGCCACACTCTGCCATGCTCAAGTCTTACTCCTTGGCTCAGTATTCAGGGGTACCTTCTGGTGGTGCTCCGGGAACTATATTGTGTTACCAGGGATTGAACCAGGTTTGACTGTGTGCAGGGCCACTACCTTAACTGCTGTACTACCTCTCCAGCCCCTATAATTATTTCTTTGAAAATCAAGTACAGGAACATTAATACCTGGATCTAGCCAATAGAATGATTGAGGGTCTTTGATATCTACTTCCGTATACCTCCAGAAAAGTTGCCATAACTACACTTGCAACATATAATGTTTTCCATCAGATTTCCCACCATTGCATATTTAATTTTTAAAATTTGCCTAGAGCAATGGCACAGCAAGTAGGGCATTTGCCTTTCACGTGGCTGACCCGGGTTCGATTCCTCTTTCCCTCTCAGAGAGCCCGGCAAGCTACCAAGAAAATCCTGCCTGCTGGGCAAAGCCTGGCAAGTTCCCCCTGGTGTATTCAATACACCAAAAACAATAACAACAAGTGTCACAATGGAGACGTTACTGGTGCCCACTCGAGCAAATCAGTGAACAATGGGAGGACAGTGCTACAGTGCAGTTTTTCCATGTATAAAATAGCTGCAGCATTTGAAAGGACTTTTTGTACTGTATTAAGAAGGTTGAAAAGACAAACATTAAATAAAAGATTTGAGGACAATGTCAGCTTCAGGAAGCTATTGAAATGCTTTTAGAAGCTGCTCCAAAGCCTGGGTATTAAGCAGTGATTTTCAAATCCTTTGCTGGTCCTCAGAACAAAATAGTTGGAAGCACTCAAAATATGCTCACATTTGATCTTTTTAGAAGAATCTAGTACTTTCATCCCAAGGCCAAGTAGGGGTATGTTTGTGTGTGTGTGTGTGTGTGTGTGTGTGTGTTGTGTACATACACATGTGCTACCATGTCACAGAAACATTGGGATATTGAAAATAGGCTGAGACTTATCGCCACTTAATTTCTTTGCAGAATAGATATGAAAATTGCCTGCTCTGAAATTCCACCACTTGTTTGAAAAGGCATAATGTGGTCCCATTCTATATATTTTTAAACACCTCTTTTAGTCTCATATTTCTTGAATAAAGCTATTTTACTGCACATTTAAAAAGACATAATGAGCATAGAGAACTTACTAGTATCTGAAAAACAAAAAAAATGTGAAAGAGACAGCCAGTTGTGCTCAGGGATCACCGCAGATGGCCCCTGGGGAACATGCCATGCTGGGGATTGGACCCTGGCCTCCAGCATGCAAACACACTCAAGCCCATTGAGTTATCTCTTCGATTCTGAAAAATGTTTTTGAAAACCATTACAGAAAAGCAAACAGATAAAAAATAAAATTAGCAATGTTGTCAAGACTAAAAGAAAATTGCATGTGAATTAGTACATAAGTTAAAATTGTATCTTAAGAGCTTTGTTCTTCCATCTTTGGTCCAAGAACCAGTGCCAGTTAGTGGAAATTTCCAGGTGGTCTGCCAAAAATTTCCCCAGTCATGTAGTTGCCAGAACAGCAGTTGTTGCTGTAGCTAAAAATTATAATTTCATAACATTGGATTAAATAAAAACTCTCTACATTGTTTTCATTTCTGTCAGCCATCAGCTGGTTCATGAGATGTTTCT